ACCTGCTCGTCTTCCAGCCTGCTGGATGGAGCCAGGGGTGGGAGCGAAAACTGCTCTGGCAAAGCCCCCTGGTTGTATGGCACTAACACAACTGGCAAAGGCAAACATGAAGGAAACGTATTTGAAGCAACTGGAAGAAAAATGTAAGTGGAGGAGAGAGAAATGAGAAGGAGGCAAAAACCGTCATTCCTCCTGTTGCTTCCCTTGAGCTATTCAACACTAGCAGCATGGGTATCTTCAGACTGGAGCAGGATCCCATTTAATTGGAGATGGAGGCATCAAAGTGCCTCCGAGAAAGCTTCTAGCTTCAGTACACTTCAGAAATGTTCCTCTGCTCTTCTGCAGAGCTGGCCTGTGAGGCAAGGAGGGAATTAAACCCACTGTCCTTGTGAGAAAGGGGGAGGCAGCAACAATACATGTGCTAGGTTACACAGCCAGTAGGTAGCAGAGCGAAACATCTTTGCACCGTCTTTCTGCTTAGGTGCCACAAGACTAGAGACAGAGAACAAGGCAATTGCCTGCTCTGACTGACACAGAAAGTTGGGTTTCACTGGCTGTAGCTTCCAGGCAGGCTGTCACTGTTGAAAGCAAATTAGATCAGCTGGGCATCAAGCGATAGCTCCCATCAGTTTTCACCGCCCACTGCTGCCAGCTTGACACTTCTCTTTCACACTGCATGTGCCAACTGTCTTACAAAGCCAGCTGCAACATCTACTGGAAGGACAGGAAGAACAGCCACAGGTGGGGAGAGGAGGCAGGGGATCAGCTCAGGGTTGGGGTGAGGAGAGCTTTTCCTGCCTTAGTCCAGGCAGAAGACAGGGTTCTCCAAGAAGACTGCGAGCTTGCTGGCCACCAGGTCCAGGTCACTGGTGTTGGCATATTTGAGCAGATTGGTGTTCTTGACAAAGTAATGCTTGAGGAAGTGCTGGCTTACACACTTGTGCAGCTTCTGTACCAGCCTCAGAAAGGCTTCAGGGAAGCAGCGCCAATCCTTGGTGCGTGGGTATTTTTCACAGGTCCAGAATAGCACTGTCTGCAAGAAGCAGATGGGAGAGAAGAGGTGTTAGAGGTTCTGTCGAGGGCTCATGAAGCTTACTAAGGCACTTTAGTGCTGGTAAGTGGCTGACAGCCTTGGAAATCAGAGACTCACACCGCTATCTCCCGGTGTTAACGTTTCTGCAATGAAGGGATCACAACTAAAGCCTCCTCTGGAGATCAGGCACAGCAACTCTGACATGGCTGGTTAGGATCTCTCCTCAGAGGAGCCCCACTCCATTGACTGCAGCAGAAGCCCAAGGAAAATGGTCTTGCTAAAATAATCTTAGCCTATTTGCCATCCTCCAGCAGGAGCCTCTGTAGAAGTGCCAGGCATTTTAGGCTGTAAAAAATGGCCTCTTATAAAAGTGTAGAAGCCAGTAGGTGCAAGGAGGGGGAGAAGAATAATCAGATTAACGTAATTATTCATTAGCTTCAGCTGTATTTGTGCTGAAGATGCACACAGATCTGCATCCTGAACAGACTGAGATTCCAAGCAACTATTGCAGGTGCAGGACATGCTTTCTGGTCAAGGGCAGCCTGTTTTTTTTTTCTGATATGTGATACTTACAGCATGTGCTAGGTTCTATTCCCCCAAGTTTATTTTATGTAAAATAACAAAATGCATACGATTATTACTCTTATAGTATTATTTTTATGCTGCTTATGTTGCATTTTTCAGACTTTCCTATGACCGAGAAGAATTTCCTTGAGGTACTTACACTTACTGTACCAAAAAGGCCATAATGACTGCCTTGGTCAACCTGAAATCAGCTTTTAAGGTACAAAGTCACCCACCTTGAGTTCAATAATTCTGCTAAATTCCTTACTGTCCTCTGAATCCCAATTTTATTTTGCAGATTCAGCAATCCAAAAAGAGGCCCACAGACACTGTGAGACATGGCTGAACTACGGTCTTCAACTCTTCTCTTTCTTCAGAGCTAGAATTTCATCAAAGAAGCCACCCTCTTCTGGATTGCCTGTTTTGGTTTTCTCCTCCAGTAGGCCTTGCAATAGTCGTATTGCTGACGATTTTCTTCTCAGACAGCTTTTCAAATGTGAATGATTTTTTGCTCACAGCTACAATAACCACAAAGACTTTTTTGGTTTTTAATGTTGCCAGGGAACAAAAGACATAGTGAGGAATTCAAACTGTAACTCTGCGAGAGATACTCCTTGGAGACTTGCAGAGCAGTTACCTTTTGTCACACTAAAACTACTTCAGCAAGATCTGTGGGCAGCAGTTTCAATGAAGTTTCTGGAGGCAAGGAAAATAGCGCTGCTCTTCCTGTCAGGCACCAAACGGGCGATCTATCCCCAGCATTTACTGAACCATGCCTAACTGCCAGCTGTCTGCTAGAGGTATAGAGCTGGCTTTCAAACCTAGGTCTTTTCGGACTTATCAATCTTGAACTTCATTCCTATGGAGGTAAGCATAATGAGTGCACTTACTCAGTCATCTAAAGCTTTCACAGTTTCTGGGGAAAGGATTGCTTCTGATACCTCTGACAAGGAAAACCTGATAATGTGAAGAAACCCAACACTAAGCCTCTGCTCAACTGTTGGTTTATCCACTGACTGTTTCTCTTTCTTCTTTTTTTGTTGGGTTGGGTTTTTTTTTTTTTTTGAAATATAAGTATTGTTGAAGCATTCCTTCCATCTGGCAAACCAATCGTCTCTTGTGGTAAAAGCCTGAAGTACAGTTACAGTAAAGAACTGAAGAGCTTCTAAAGAGCTTTTTATTTTGATCAAGAGTCCATGCAACAAACTTTGTGCACCTCTTCTCCTTGAGCCAGAGAAAGAAATCATTACGAATGGTTAAATGGTTTTCCACTTCCTCCTACCTACGACAGCTTTTCCACCAGATTGTTCTTACAGGCACTGAGAAGTTTTGCATTCTACTAAGTTATAACCAGCCTTGTCAACTCATTTTTGACTCTGTCTTGACTTAGGTTAGTCCCATGGCTGTAATAGCATTTGATGGTTGCAACCTTTTCTTGTCATTGCATCTGATTTTGGACACCAAAAGATCAGTAAATACTTTGGAAGCCTGGTGGCTTGAGACTTCAAGGTGGGAGAAGAAAAGCCTCTGCCTGGCAGGTCCAGGAGGATGGAGGCCCAGAAAACAGGATTGCTCTATTGTCTGATAAATGGTGCTGCCTGTGGTCCATCAGTGTCTGCAGCTGTTAGATGTGGAGCACATTCATAGCAGACCCTTCTGTCTCTTTTTCACAAATGTCATTTCAAGCCATCTTGAACCTCTTTACATCTTACCACCTCTTTACCTCTTTCTTCCTTTCCCACATCAGGTGAAAAAACACCAGGACTGTAGTTTGTACCTCATTCATTAAATAATGCCTACCTAAGAGAATTTTGTTTGGTGCACATCCACAAAGACAAATGCACAGTTTTCCTCCAGACAGATAGATGGATATGGATGGCTGGGACAGTCAAGAAGCAGGAAGTAACTGTGGAATTGAAGACAATATTACACTACCTATGTGAAGTCAAAACAGAATAGGGGCCCCAACTCTAACATTATTTATGTTGCTGCAATCATGATGTTCCTGCAGGCTTTAGTTTCTTGTTGAAGTTTGGAACGTATATTTACTGTACTTCTTGGCACTGCAAAACAATGAAAGGGTACTGCAGTTTTGGCAGTTACCTTGGAAGTTACATAGACACTACAGTGATTTACACCATGATATTTTGACATTACTGGATGGATGCCACTGCAATAGATACTGAGACAGTATCTTGGTATCATGGTGATGCCTACCTGAAGGTGATAAGCTGTGATGACAGGCTTATTTCCAGCACACCAGACATCTTCCTTCATCTGCCTCATGACCCTGAAGCACTTCATGCGACAACCACCATCTTCATCAAGTCCTTCCATGAGTATATGCTCAGCACGGGAGAAGCACAGCTGCCAGTGGTAATTGGAGCGGGCCAAAAGGTCGAAACCAAGTGACTGTGGACAAAAAAGGGAAGTGTGACACCAGATCAGAGGCAAACTTCTCTGAGCAACGCAGAGAGATGTTACAAAAAGGATGTGTGACATCTCTCAAACTGTATTCTAAACAGGGTTAGCAAGGGCAGCAAACGTGAGTCATGCTCCCATCCTAATTCTTAGTTGAACAAACATGCAATTTGTTTTGTTTCTTGTGTGCTGACATCAGTTATTCCCATGAGACCCAACTCTAGAGCCACCATGTACAGTACCAGCAGTGCTGCTAAAGTGGAGGTGCAGCTCTGCAGGCACTTGGCCATGGAGCAGCAGGTCATGCATGAGAGGGCAGAAGGACTGGAAGGCAGAATGGGACCATGTGGGAACATGGCAACTAGGGCTGAGCTGGAGTGCCAGAATCCAGCCATGAATGTTGCAGGGAAAGATGGGATTAGGCCGGAGAGAAAACTGCAGGATAACAGCCCATTTGCGGAAGGCTTAAATGAGGCAGAGTAGAACGGCAAGAATGATGCACATCAGCACTGAGCTACACAGGCAGAACTGTGTGTGAGAAACTCATACAACAAACAGTTAACTCAGGTTTTCTTCCATAGAATTCACCACCATAAGGGGGAAAAAATATCCCAATAAAATCTGACAGAATACTCTGAAATGTTTCTCTAGAGAATACACCTTCCAACCATGCTGTTGCCTGCCATCACCATGCAGTCCTTCATTTGGGAAACCACTGTCAGACACTTGTGAGGTAAATTCCAGCACAGAGTTAATAGTGCTTTTTACACTATTCACCTTGATGCACTGCACTTTTTCCTGGGAAGGCCAACGCTTAAGGCAACGAGGCCACCGAGCTTTCTCGGGCCAGCAAGTTGGAATCTCCACGGCAGGGACCAGCTCCACCTCGACCTGGGATTCTGATGTCTCCACAGCCACCCGGACCACTGAGCTGAAGCTCTCCAGCACCGTCACTTTACCTGTGAAGGAACAGCAAAAGAAGATAATAAAGAGGAAAAGGTCCTTTTCCACAAGCCAAGCAAAAGGCTGTCTAGGGCCTTGCAGTTCTGTTGTTCTGCCTTAACACTTTCTCTTCAGTGCCATAAGCAGAATACAAGAAACAACTTACCATCTTAATCTACCCTGGGGAATGAGAACAGGACGAAGATGAAGGAACAACCATGTTCTCAATTTTAACTCAAGTACCTTGCTTTTGTTTTCCTCTGTGGGTCCTCTTAAATCCTAGGACCAGATTCTTAAAAATACAGATTGTCTAACTGGTGCAATCGAACATTTCTAACAGTACAGTACAACAAGGAGATCACTGCAGATTAGAGGGGACCAGACGAACACTTTGTATCTAAAGATCTCCTTATTCCTTCAGAGAAACCGTGATCAGACCAAATGACTTGCCCTTGCCAGTCATTCAGAATGTTTTGGGGTATCTGTATGTTTTGTTTCTGGAGATGTACTTGCACAGAAGACAATGCCAGAATTTATGGTCTGTCATGCAGAGCACAGAATAACAGAACTAACTGCAAAAAGAGTTAGTTCCGTGGTGAAGTGGAGGAAAGAATTTTCCTCAGTGAACGAAGAGTGGCTTATCTCCAGGCGCAACAGACAGCAGAAAGGAATGAAGTCTGCAACTAATGGACTTAGTGGGATGTTTCCTGTTGGTCCAGCTTTGATCATGGAAGAAGTTCCTGGCCCCAGCTTTCCCTATCATTCTGGTAGGATCACTATCCCTTCAACTTTGCCAGCTGAGCCAATTCTGCGATCATGCTCTAATGCACTGAAGTAAAAGACAAAGCAGATTACCATAAGCAGGTTAAATAGTAGTGTGTTAACCCCCCTCATTTTGACTGGCATGGGCTAAGGAGCAATTCCCCAAGGAGCCCACACAACAGACTTGAAGGGACAGTGATGAACATCTTCTACCGTCACAGAGAAAATACCTGCCTACTCCCAACGGTGATTTAGCATTTCCTCCAGGAAGCACAGGGGTGAATTACCTTGCAAATTGCGGAGTCCATTCCAACCAGAACTTTATAACCCTCAGTAAAATCTGCATGTTATTTCCCTGCTGAGCCAAGCCTGGCACCAAAACAGAAATTGTACTGCTCCCAAGCCCTCAGCAGGGATCCCTAGCAGCTGAAAAGCATTAAAGCAACTGCTGTGTCAGCATGTAAATACATTCACAGCATTTCCAAAAGCATCACAATTGTGCTACCTACTTTTCCACCAATGAAAAGTGAGACACCTCAAAAACTCTGGTTTTGCTGGTGCTTAAAGAATTAAAAAAATTGGGAAGCAATGAAATCAGGGAAATTTTTCCGTAACTTTAGTTGTACTGTGGAATTAAGGAAGTTCATTCTTCACAGAAATGAACAAAAATGGTCATTGCTCCTCCTGACTTTATCTTTGCTCATCTCCTCTGTGTCAGTCTCCTCACAGCTGGCCTTACAAAAAAAAAAAAAGGCATCAGGATCATCAGCCCAAACATCACGTCCTGGGTCCCTTGGAAGTACCCCTCCTGGCTCAACAACTTGATGTACTGCTGCTAGACATAATGACAGGTTTCCACTTCAACACAATGACTTTCACATAAGCAAACTCTCTGATGCAGGCCCATTCCATCTAGTCCTTTCTGTGAGCCTCAATGGTGAAATTTCATTCCCATCAACCTTTCCATTTCTATGATAATAAATATTTCCTGGAAGAATGCAATGATCTAGCTGAGCTTGACTTTAACATGTTTTCTCCTGTGACCAAAATTCAGAATGCAATCAGATGAGTGGAAATGGCTCCTATTTCTCTGGAATACAGAAGACCCATATTAGGCTGCTGATGAGTAAAGTCATCCTGGAAACATGCTATGATAAGAGGTACCACAGTTCGGATTTGATCATGTCACAGTATGTTAATATGAAAAGACGGACATAGACTATTTAGCTTGGACCAAGCCAAGTGTTCCTTAGCTGAAGTCTATAACATGCCTTTAGGATGCTAAGAATTAAGCATGAGGATCACTGTTCAAGCAGCATCTTGCTACAAATGTCGCAGCTATGAAGGCATGTTACATGCACCACTGATTGTGTTATGTCAGTGATCAGCACTTCCAGTATAAACAGGCACAGGCAATAAACAGGCACTTTGGATTGCTCACAGAGAGATCAGCACCACTGCTGAAAGCTACCTTCCTGAGTCCAGTTCTGCTGAACAGGACTGGAGTAGCCTGGACACTGGGGAAAAGAGCACTTGTCCTGTATTTGCTTAAGTAGAAGTTCCTCTCCTTAGTTCCCCCCACTCCATGCTGTAAAGCTATGGGCAGCTAAGGCTTCCCCAAAGTGTTATCATCTGCCCTATGCACATCTTCAAGCACTTTCTCCTCAGATTTATGCACCTTCGCTGTATCCAGTTTTCCTATACTATCTTCCTTGATAGTCTAGATGTATTGCAGGTGCTGTAGTAGAAAAACATTTTTCCCAAACAAATTCTTAAATGTTCTGAAAACCCGGGTTGCATCTTGGTTGAACAGTGAGGGTGACGTTGCTGGAGACCTTACCCAAATTTCTAAGAAAGGAGAAACTTCTTGGGTATGAAGAGCTCAAAAACTACTTAATTCTATCTTCAATGCAGGTGTACATGCATCACTGCAATGGGCTAAACCTCTCCTTGATTTTGAAGGGGTTTGTTGCTTTTCAGCTTCTGAACATGTGAACCAAACAAACACTTTGTGTGTGCGATGGTTTCCCTCTATCAGCTGCAGAAGACAGCCATTTCCCCTTGTACCTGTCCCCACTAAACTCACTGGAGAGGTTACAGGAGATAATCGACTTCTCCACCAGCTCCCGGAAGATGATAAGGACTTTGGCTGGAACCAGATCACCTTCGACGTTCACATCCGTTTCATGCCACTGCTGCAGGCTTTTTGAGAACTGCTCCACCTCTAGCCATTGATGCAGTTCCTCAGGGTCCCGCACGGAGGAGAGGAGCTTGGCTCCATGCACAGTGTAATAACGCCAGTGCCGTACCTGGCATTCCCTGTACCCAGTCAGGCCACGCAGAGGGACTGTGATGAGGAATTGGCTGGGTGCTAAGACCTAGGAGAGTGCAGAGAGATTGAGCGAGGAGACAAGTGCAGATCCATGAGCCTGAAGTAAGGAAAAGAGGGTTAAGGAAGTGACAGGCAAAACTGTGGGCTTTGGAGAGAGGGAAAAGCCATGTTATGACGGGTGTGATTGAATACAGCCAGGACGTCTACCATGACTGTATGAGGATTACTTTGGAGGTACACAGACTAAAAGAAAATTGTTCTAGGAGTCTGATGTGACAGCCATGGCCCATAGAAGACAAGAGCGCACTGACTCATTTCCCACCACATCTGCCATGTTTTCCCCCATTCCTTGTTATTTCTAGTCTGCAATTGCATGAGATATAATAACTAGCACTTCCAAGGAGCAGGAAAGCATCAGAGAGCATGTTTTGAGATCCAGCAAAAGGAAACAAAATAATGCAAGTTATTACCTCAGAATAGTTATTAGAGGTCAGCCTAGAGCTCAATAGTAGTACAAAACAGTAGGGCAAAAAGTGCGCTTTTCTGATCTCTTTCAAAGTCCACTATCGACATTAGTAAAATAAGGCTATGGCCCATTCATTTCAGAAGTGTTTCACTCTGCATGACTGTCCTTTAAGAAACAGAGATGTGAGGCAAGTGACATGTCTGGGCCTACAAAGGCAGTGGCACTCCCAGAAATAAATCCAGGTCTTGGACAGCCATACTGTATGAAACTGCATCTCCTGCTGAGCAGAAGCCAGAAACAGCGTGAGGTTGGAAACAGTAGCTGATGGATAACAAACCCACAAGCAGGCTTGTTTGCAAGACAATAAATGCCCGCACTTTGTGAATGACCATTTTCCAATAAAACCCATGCTGAACCAGTATTTGCAAAGAGTTAATAAGGTGACAGAGATACCACAAAACCTCCTACTGGCCTAGGGCATTGCCAGACATGTCCAAACACTAGTTTGGAAGTATTCAGCAATAGTGGCTCCAGGTATTCAGAGAGGATATTCTAAATCCTTCAGACTTTTATCGTGTTGACTCAGAAGCTTTTCAACTCCACTTGCTGCCAAGCCTAACTTACATTGGCATTAATAAGGTGAAGCTGCTGCACAAGCAGGATGTGAAGTGACAGCTGTTTCTGCAAGGTAGTTACCTGGAGGTGAATGAAACACCCTTGTCACTCTCCGGTAACAATCCAAAACATTCTGATGGCCTTCCTGGTAGCTCAGCTGATTTAAAATATTACTGCAGAAGTGCCAGGGTCCTGAGGGCACTAACAGGCTTTGATGGCCCTAAGCAGCCTTTCCGTGGCTTCTACCCACACCTTCTGCCGTGGGCTCAGGACCCACATTTCAGTCCCGGGCTATGTCGTAAGAGTTCTGGTCCTCTTATAGTGACAGTTAAACTCATGCTTGGATCTTCTTGTCCTGTGTGCAGGCTGCCTTCCCAGCCTGACCTCAGACCTGCCTGGCCACTATGGACTTGCCTGGCAATCAATAGACTGCATCTGACCCTGGCTACTGTCATCGGGCCTGATCCTGACCCTGATGAGTGCTCCTGGCTTGAGCTCAGACCTGCCTTATCAGCACAGATTTGCCTGACAATCCAGACTCTCGGCTGAACCCCAGTTGCCCTCCCCCTAGGTCTGTCTTGCTCAGAGACCATGGAGCAGGCACTGCCATGTTGTCATGCTCACCTCCCGGCTCCCTCTCCCATAGAGAGCAGCTGGTCTTCTCTGCTCGCTGGCAAGAGATTTGAAATACAAAAGATGGCCAGCAAGCAGCACAGAAATGGCAAAGCAAACACCAGAAAGCCCTTCTTTTGTCAATTATAAACCACCTAAAGGCAGGAGGATGCTGGAAGAATGACATTGCAGATCAAGCCGACCTGCAAAAGTCAGGTTTGGTGGGGCTGAGAAATCCTGTGAGCAGCTCAGGAACGAAGCTAGGCTCCGTAAGAAAAAAATACTGTGGCTGTCATGCAGTTACTGCTCATCTCACCGCCTTGGCCACACTTGCAGATGAACAATCATTCCTTCCCACACCAAAATGCCGACTTGTATGCACTGGCACTCAACAGACTGCAAAGGGAAGAGCTGCAGGTGTTATGTGAGTGCCTTCAAATACAAGTCACAAGGCTCCTCCACCTGGTGCTTACCAGGAAACACCAGAAATCACAAGGCTGGGGATGGCACTGTAAAGCTGGGCAGCTGCTCTCCTCTTGGCCTAAACAAATCCCAGTCCCACACCTACGCTCTGTCACATGGTGGTCTAACGTGCCATACGCAGACCATAGGCCCCAGCAAGTCACAGGCGTGAACAAGAGCCTCAAATTCTGGGGTGTGTAACTTATGGCAAATTCTGCTGTATTAAAAACCTGCCTGCAGTATGCTGGGCAAATTAAATACAGTCTCATTCTTGTGATCCGGGCCAGGATATCTAAGGGAGGCAGAAGCATTAAGTTAGAAATAAAATATTTTGCTTTGAGCAAAAAAAGGAAGTCTCTTGTGGAGAGGATTGAATAGTCATGGGAGGATCAGTTAGGTGGGTGAAGTTCTCTGGAGAAGAGGGTGGGCGAGGAGGAAGTGGACACATGGACCGGCAGGCACAGGTGGCAGGAAGGCTTTGTACCTGGATGGATGGGTGGAATGGGCGCTTCCCCCGAAGCATAGCTGACCACTTGGCCAGTAAAGCTGGCTGATCCTGAGAGAAGCAGAAAGGAAAACAAGAAGTACACAGAACAGAGAGAAAGCATGTGCCAGGTCATTCGTTCACAGAGCAAAGCTGCAAGCTTCCTTCAAGCCTATTTGTTAAAGGAAAATCTCCCCCCCACCCTGCCCCCCCACCTCGCCATGACTACCGAGTTAAACACTTGGCAACGCCGTTGGGCAGAGCTGTTCTAGTAATTACTCTGGACGCTGACCTGCTCATTCTACCTTACTGAAGCAGCTTTTGCACCAGCCCTGCACAGTTGGCAGCTGCAAAAACGGTGGGCCACAACTAAAACAAACACTTAAAAGTTTTAAAAATAAAATATTCCATCTCGTCCATCTGAATTTTATTTCAAGTTTTTTATTAAAGATTTTGACTTTCTGTCCCCTGGATTACAGAAAATCATTGACTATCTAAAGACTTTTCTTACATATTCCCCACCCAGCCCTGCATATTTAGAAGGAAGTTTGTAGCTTCTTAACAAATCTAGACCCCTCACCATGTTAAGTTAATTCATTTTAACTTGAAGCTGAAAGTTCCGAAGAGTCACTGTAAATTTAATTGACAGAAAAAAGATGTTGCAAAATTAAACACAGAATAGTTAATAGATTGGCTTTCCCTTGACATAAGTCTTCTCTAGGTTGAGTTATATCAGCAATGATGTTAAAGATTCTATTTTTTGGAAGCAGAACAGCCCAAGCCAAAAATTTTCTCATTAACCCATACCTACAGGACAAAGTTAGCCAGGCCCTCCTAGTGTGACTTCCACAGGTTTATAGCACTGGGATCAGTTAAGTATGAATAATGAATCTGCCATTTTTTAAGAACATACATTTTTGGGATTCCTTTTCAGCAGAAGTTGTTCAGATCGGCCTGTTGTAAACCAAATTACTGCTCAGAATACATTGCCTTGGTTTCGTTCTGCTTTGTTTTCCGGAAGAGCAATTTTACCCTGACGCTGGCCATGTCAGCCCTCATTAGCCAAGCAGGTTTGTTTCAGTATGAGAGGTGGATGGCAGACTGAGGCACTAAGGAACACGTGGACCAGGTTGTGGCACTGTTTTACATCACTGTGGTCATTCCTGTTGGCAAGACCACAATGCCCCAGGATACACAAAATTCCAGAAAAGATATAAATCTGAATGTGTTTCTTCCCAGACAATAATCACATTTCAGACTGGATGATTATATTCTGCCTCCACATCCATACCCTTCCGGCAGCTTGTTACACAGAGCTCTTCCCTTTCAACCCTAGACAGCTGCAAAAGTTGCTCACGCTTTTACATTCTTGTTGAGTTTTGATCTGTAACTGGCTGCATTTTAGTATAAGGATTGACATAGCTAGAGTATGTAAACTAGTTCAGATGAAAAATATCATTTTCATCCAAAGTTGCCATTGCTATGATTGTTTCTTATATCTTGCGCTAGTTATTCTTGTGTTAAGTAGTCACAGGAAACAACCAGTCTTCTCCTGTCACAGCTGGGACAGGACATTATTATTTTGGTATTTGATGGTCTAAAATGGGGAGGCATTTAATTTCTCCCACTAGTAAGTGTATTTCTTCCCAGAAAAACAGAAGTTCCAATCCATGACCAAGAAAAAACATACTTTTCTGAAGAAGCTTTCTAATGTTCATAGCAGAAGAAGGATTTCTGATTTTTTTTTTCCTCTTTTTTTAGTGAGTTGACAGGTTTTCCACCTGTGAAAGATATGAGTCATAGCTCATGAAGGCATGAGCATTTTTTTCTTCTTATGTTACTGCTGTACAAGTTTTTCTTTCCATCCCTCTTTGGCTTCTGCTTGCAGATTGACAGCTTTGGCAATAGATCCTCTTTGTAAAAGCAGCAGCTGTAAAAAGAGGCTCTGCCTGATTTACCCAGCCTTCCTGACGCGCCTCTAGTTGTAAGACGTCCATGAGTAAGTCCCTATGACCCAGTCAGTAACTAGAACTTCCGCAGCAAAGTGTCAATGCATCGTCTGCGGGTTTCGGGTGTGGTACCTATCCATACCAACACTTACACAATTGAGAAATCATTTAGTGATTGCCTAAGGTCTGCCAGAGAGTACATTAGAGCTGTTGTTCATACCTTAATATTCTCATTGTGAATGCCAGAGTTGGAGATAGCCTGGAATCGTGTGGCCTTACAGCTGATTTCTGCGGTCAGTTGCTGGATGATTTTCTGCACCTCCTCCACTGCTTTGGAAACCAGGTAACGTCGCCGTTCCACCTGTCAGTTCCAAGAAAGACGCTTCATATTACAGGTAACTGCAGTCTTTGTCTCCAGTAGGAAACAGACAATCAACTTCAAACACTTGTGCCTGTGCTGCACTGTGAATAAAACTTATAATTCCCTGTGTGTTACAACCAACTTACCATGAGACAGCTGGTAAACACCAGTTGGTGAACATCGAAGGGCCAATACTCAAGACTGCTGAGCATTAATTGATA